TCACCTCCCGCCTGGACTACTGCAATGCTCTCTACATGGGGCTCCCCTTGAGGAGCACCCGGAGGCTCCAACTGGCGCAGAGTGCGGCCGCGCGGGTGGTTATGGGAGCGACGTGGCGCTCCCATGTGACACCTCTCCTGCGCGAGCTGCACTGGCTCCCGGTGGTCTTCTGGGTGCGCTTCAAGGTTTTGGTTACCACCTTTAGAGCGCTCCATGGCTTAGGGCCTGGTTATTTACGGGACCGCCTGCTGCCGCAAACAGCCTCCCACCGGCCAGTACGCTCTCACAGAGAGGGACTCCTCCGGGTGCCGTCGGCCAAACAATGTCGGCTGGCGGCCCCCAGGGGGAGAGCCTTCTCTGTGGGGGCACCTGCTATCTGGAATGAGCTCCCGCCAGAGATACGGAGGATCCTGGATCTGCGCACCTTCCGCCGTGCTCTTAAAACCTTTTTATTTCACCAGGCTGGTCTGGCCTAACCTTTCCCATTCTCTTTTTAATGTAAATTTTAATGTAAATTTTAATTCGTTCTTAACCTGGGGTTTTAAATTTGTCTTGGGCTAAATTGATTTAATTCGATTTGACTTCTGTTCTTAATTTTTGTACTTTACGTGTTTTATTCTGTGCCTGTTCACTGCCCTGAGTCCTTCGGGAGTAGGACGGTATACAAATTAAATAAAATGAAATGAAATGAAATTTGTTTGCTTGCTTGCAAAATGACTGGGCTTGCAAAAATGCAAAAGTCTTCCCATTGGTTTGGTAGAACTATGGCTGTGAAGAAGATTTTTGCTTTGAATTCAGGCCCTTTCCGCAGTCACTTCTTGTAAGCAGGGGCCTCAGTAGACCGCCAAGCAGCTGCTAGGACCTCTGCTGAGAAACCCTTTAATGCATGTCCACTTCCCTCCTTTTTCCTTATCGTGGCTTTTAAGCAGGGAGTCGAACGCATTGATTCATTTAATGGCCCCATGAATCAACTGCCTCCCAACCTTATCAATTATTAGAAGAGGTCATTGCAAGGCCCTGTTCTAAGCTGCCGTTTCGTCCCTTGCATAAAAGAGTCACGGCATTTATGGGTAAAATTTATTCATAAAATGTATTGGCTGCCCATTGTGCCACAGGATAATTCTGGGCAGCTGACAGTCATCAAAATGTACTTTATGCATATACAGGTAGTCCTCGACTTACGACCAACGTTTCTACCTTGTTTCACCGAAAATAAGACCCGGACTTTTTTTTTTTTTTTGAACCCCGAAATAAGCGCTTGGCCTTCTTTTCGGGGAGGTCTTATTATTTTGGGGTGCATGGAGCAAGACGGGGCTCCTCTTGCTGTCTTACCTGATTTCCAGCTCTGTCTCCCTAACTCAGGGGTCAGCAACCTTAAACATTCAAAGAGCCATTTGGACCCGTTTCCCACAGAAAAGAAAACACCGGGAGCCACAAAACCCTTCCCGTGCCTGACTATTTCTTGAGAGGCCACAAAACTAGCATATGTAGTTGAATTAAACCTTCTGTTTTCTTCTGAAACTTTTCTTTTCTTGGATTTATCCATGGTTGGCCTACCAGGAGTTGAAAAGCTGAATAAATCACGTGCTGGCAGGTGTCACACCTTGGCAGTTGTGATGCATAGTTTGAGTGACAGGGAGCCGCAGCAGAGGGGTGAAAGAGCCACATGCGGCTCCAGAGCTGCAGGTTGCTGACCCCTGCCCTAACCCTAACCAGAGGAAATGGCAGGGACCGGCTGCACATGTGTTTTAAATATTTTTGGGGAGGTCTTATTTTCAGGGGGGGCTTATTTTAGCGCATGTGCTCAAAAAGCCCGATTGGGCTTATTATCAGGGGAGGTCTTATTTTCGGGGAAGCACGGTATTTTTAAGCGAGAAGGCTTTCCAACTAGGGGCCGCCAGCCGACATTGTTTGGCTGACGGCACCCGGAGGAGCCCCTCTCTATGGGAGCGTACTTGCCGGTGGGAGGCTATTGGTGGTAGCAGGCGGTCCCGTAGATAACCAGGTCCTAAGCCATGGAACGCTTTAAAGGTGATAACCAAAACCTTGAAGCACTCTCGGAAGACCACCGGGAGCCAGTGCAGCTCGCGCAGGAGAGGTGTTACATGGGAACTCCACGTCGCTCCCATAACCACCCGCGCAGCCGCACTCTGCGCCAGTTGGAGCCTCCGAGTGCACCTCAAGGGGAGCCCCATGTAGAGAGCGTTAGAATAGTTCAGACGAGAGGTGACGAGGGCATGAGTGACTGTGCGTAGGGAGTCCCGATCTAGAAAGGGACGCAACTGGCGGATCAGGCGAACCTGATGAAAAATCCTCCCGGTCACGGCTGTCAAGTGCTCTTCTAAAGACAGCCGTGAATCCAGGAGGACGCCCAAGTTGTGAGCCCTCTTCGTGGGGGCCAATGATTCGCCCCCAATAGTCAGCGAACGTTGGAAACGTTACACTATCCAAACTAGGTTTCCTCATCAATGCTAGCTAACCGCCTGCTAGTTAAGCCTGTTTCAAAGCTAATGAACACTTAAGCCTGTTTCGAAGCCAGATCTCTGGATCAACCCAGAGATCTGGTGGTCTGATGGGCGAAAGGAACGGCCTTGAGGAAATGGGAGGAAAAGTTGCAACCAAGACCATGGTCAGATAAAAGAAACCTGAATCCGGTCCAGAACCGTAACCTGAGAAAGCGTCTCAGACAAGACCCTCCCTGGTTCTCACAAAGACAGAAAGAGGAAGGCGGGAAACGCATTCAGACCTGCAGGGATTCTGTTACCGTAACTTTAGAGTGAAAAGGGGATTAGCCTGCGTGATTGTGGTTCGGTAGGTATGGCCTACGTTGAAGGTTGGCAGGGGAGTATGAGGAAAAAGGCCGCTTCAAAAAAACACCTGATCCTCCTGTGATCTGGGGGAGAGTGGCTACAAACTGGAGGGATTGTGTGTGTGTGTGTGTGTGTGTGTGTGTGTGTGTGTCTGTGTGTGAAAACTCAAAGTCAAATGGGGAAAGCCGGATTCACTTAACAACTGGGCTACTAATTTAACCACTGCAGTGATTCACTTAACAACTGTAGCAAGGAGGGGGTCATACAACAAGGCAAAACTCGCCTCGCAAATGTCCCAAAGGTGCTTTTTTTTCAAGAGGCCACTGGACTTTCTGGTTTGTTTTTTTTCTTTGAAGACATTTCGCTTCTCATCCAAGAAGCTTCTTCGGTTCTGACTGGATGGTGGGGAATGGAAGGATTTATACTCCTTGCAGACAGCTGGTCATTTGCATCCTTTTTAGAGAGTCGTAAACCTCTAAGCGGCCTCAATGACTCTCTAAAAGGATGCAAATCAGTGGTGGGTTCCTCCCGGTTCGGCCCGGTTCGGCCGAGCCGAGCCGAGCCAGTAGCGGTGATGATATGATGTCACCGAACCGGTTCTCTTTGTTTGGGAGCTGGGCCCTCCCGCCTTGCGTTATTTTTACCTTTTATTTGGCCCCGCCCCCAATATATTCGCTGCCTCTCAAGTCCCAGCTGATTGGCTAGAAGGAAAAAAACTGTTTAAACTCTTGCCGCGGGGCTTCAAAGGGCCGCCCTACAGCTGATCAGTGTTAAAAGGCAGTTTGGTGGTAAACCAGGACGCTCCAAGGACAAATGGGTAGACTGGTACAGCTCTGCAAGCAGTTAAAAGCCTGGTAGACCAGTACCTCTGCTAAATCCTAAAGAATTGTCACATGACCATCAAACCACGCCCACAAAATAAGCCACACCCACAGAACCGGTAGTAAAAAATTTTTAGAACCCACCCCTGATGCAAATGACCAGCTGTCTGCAAGGAGTATCAATCCTGCCATTCCCCACCATCCAGTCAAGAGCTGAGGAAGCTTCTTGGATGAGAAGCGAAATGTCTTCAAAAGAAAAAAAATCCAGAAAGTCCAGTTGCCTCTTGAAAAAGCGCCTTTGGACGCCATGACCTGGATGACTGAGAATTTCCATAAACATTCACTTCGCCAATGTCTCACTTCTTCAGGGTGGATAAAAATCAATGATTTTTTTTAAAAAATCAAAAAAAAATCCGTTTTTTTTATTTAAATCGGATTTTTTTTATTTAAATCAGATTTTTTTGATTTTTATCGAATTTATTTTAATAAAAAACTTTTGGGGTCAAAATCTATCGTAAGATAGTTTTCTATTTAAGATACATAAATAATTTAGTTTATTCAGCATGAAATGGAGCTTAGTTATGTAGCATGAGGCTGTATATTCTGCAACACTGGGACTATCGGTGAGTCAACAGTGGGTCAAAGGAGTAGCACAGATGACAGTTGCTCTTTAAAAATTATGATTTAAATCGAGTTTATTTAAATCAAGCCTTTTTACTAGTGATTTAAATCATGATTTAAATTGTGATTTAAATCAACTCGATTTAAATCAAATCCACCCTGCACTTCTTCTTGTGCCATATTCATCATCGGACGTTGGCAATCACGTTGGCGGTCCTATTTTTATCAACAGCCGCACGAAAAAAGTGATGCTGAGTTTTTGTCCGAACCAGCCCCTTAGATTTTGAAGCCACGATTTTCTTCTTCTGCCTGGACCTCATTGGCCTTCAATCTTAGGATTAAATAAAATATATGGCGTATTTTTCCTGGTGTCGCATCCCATGTCCAAAATATTCTAACTAAACGTCTCACTTAACCAGAGAAATTTTGAACTCCCTTGCGGTCGTAAGTCTGCGAAGGATGATCAGCTCTTTGCAGTCCCCCTCGAATTCTTTGGCGGTGTCCAAATCGGAGTCCCTTTTCTGTCTGGCTTCACTCTCCTGTTATTATTATTTTTCTTTTTGAAAAGTTGCCAACTTGCCAAAGAAGAGTTAATAAATCTGGCCGCTTGCAAGCTTGAGAACTTCCTGGTTGGTTTTCAGCCATCTGCAGAAACAAGGCTCAATCCAGCTTCAGTTGAGCGGACAGGTGATGGACGGACTTCCTCCAAGTATTAGCGTCTGCTTTTCTTTTTTCTCTCTTTCTCCAGAGTGCCTACGAGGCGAGGAAGCCCCTTCAACCCGAGTGTTTGGTGGGAGTTATATGAAGAAAACCTCCTGGAACATCCAGGTAAGGTTCCGGAGAAAAATTAAGTTTTGTTTTCCCAAAATGTCCTGCGTCGTTCTTTGCGTTCAACGGGCTTTTGCAAGAAGACAAGCTTCTTTGGAAGATGATTTGAGGAGCAGGGGGCTTTCGAAGAACGTGGGGGGGGGAGGTGTCTTTCATCCCCTCCGCCTGCTTTGAAAATTCTGATTTTGGGTGGGTGGGTGTCTTTTTTTCCCCCCTCCCGTGTTTCCTGGCTAAATTTCTCGTAGCATTAAGATTGTTTTCTTGAGCCTTGCCTGGATTTGCAAACCTATATGTGAGTCCAGGGATCAAAAGCTTGGGTTGCGTTCTCACAACCCGTTCAAGCCCAAGATTCAGCCCACACCCCGTTTAGATTGAGTGAGGTTTTCTGCACTCGTCTCTTGGGGTGAGTTTGGGATTCGTGTGTGTGTGTGTGTGTGTGTGTGTGTGTGTGTGTACAGCGGAAAAATCCTGATTAATTGATTCGAGAGTGTATATTTACTTAAGTGTGGGCAAAGGTACTGGGTGAACCCAAGCCAAGAATGCCAACTATGAAGGCAGAGAGCGAATTATCTTGAAATAAACAACGATTGAATGTTCCACTTGGAACGGCATGCGGAGCGGAGCTTAAAAATAACTTTATTTGGGTTCTTAAAGCCAGCCTTGACTGTTTCTCTTCGGAGAAAATAAACTCCGGAGGGACAAATTCGTTGTAGGAAAAACAGAATAATTGCAACTGTGGATCATTGTTTAAAAATGGCTCTCCGGCAGGCTGTTTATATCGGATGCATTTGGGAGGGTGGCAGTCGGCTTGGCTGGCACTCTGTGCATGCTTTGAGCAACTCTTGGTTTTTGAACAACGGCTCTTGGCCTGCAGAAGAATTTCAGCTGGTTTTTTTTTTTTTTTTTTGAGAACCTGACCAGAGGCTCAGTCTTTATTCCGGTTTGGTGTGAAGTTGGACAATTGTGGCTTCTCTTTAGTGGGTTTATTTTCTAGAAACTCTCGGGCGGTTTTGCAAAGCAGAGGCAGCTTAAATGAGTGAAGGGTTTTCTTTTCTTTTTTTTTGCCAAAGTTAGAATACAAAAAAAAAGAGAAGAAAAAAAAAGAAGAAACAAGCTGACAATCCTCTGACACTAAAAATTAAAACAAAAAATGTGTCTAAAAAAATAGCAAATATATCGTTCATATTAATACTCAGCATAAAAAGCCCACTCTGGCTAAATGCTGATATATACCGTATTTTTCAGACTAGAAGATGCACCTAAATTTACAGTAGGAAAACAAGAAAAAAATGGTTTTGGCCTCCGTGCATCGCATTTTCACCCTCCCCGGCCCCCAGAATCAAAAACGGGTGCATTTTGGTGAAAACAGGCTGTGCAAAGCACTGCAGAATGCTCCTGGGGGGACCTGGGAGGGTGAAAATGCAACACGGGGAGAGTTCGGGAGCCCAAAAACGCCCGTATTTGGTCTATAACAATGGATTACTGCAATGCCCTCTACATGGGGCTGCTCTTGGGGTGCACCCGGAGGCTTCAACTGGTCCAGAATGCGGCCGCGCGGGTTGTTACGGGAGCCTCCCGTTACTCCCGTGTAACACCTCTCCTGCGCGAGCTGCACTGGTTACCGGTGGCCCTTCGGATCCGCTTCAAGGTGCTGGTCTTGACCTATAAAGCCGTACATGGCATGGGCCCGGGGTACTTGCAGGACCACCTCCTACCGGCCTCCCACCGCCCAGTGCGGTCACATAGGACTGCCCTCCTCCGGGTGCCATCGGCCAGACAATGTCAGCTGGTGGCCCCAGGATGAGGGTGTTCTCGGTGGCCGCATCGACCCTCTGAAATGAATTACCCACTGGGCTTCGGACGGCCCCCGACCTCCGTGCTTTCCGCGTCGAACTGAAGACATGGCTTTTTCAGCAAATTCCCTGATCTGTTATGAGATTTTAGTTGTTGGGGGTTTTTACATTTGGATGTTTTTAGTTCTATTTATTGTTATATGTTTTTATTCTGTGAGCCGCCCTGAGTCCTACGGGAAAAGGGCGGCATAGAAATCTAAGAAAATAAATAAAATAAATAAAATTATAACAGGGGTCTGCAACTTTAAACACTCAAAGAGCCATTTGGACCCGTTTCCCACAGAAAAGAAAACACCGGGAGCCACAAAACCCTTCCCGTGCCTGACTTATTTCTTCAGCGGCCACAAAACTAGCATGTGTAGTTGAATTTAACGTTCTGTTTTCTTCTGAAACTTTTCTTTTCTTGGATTTATCCATGGTTGGCCTACCGGGGGTCGAAAAGCTCAATAAATTGTATGCTGGTGGGTGTCGCACATTGGCGGTTGTGATGCATATTTTGAGTGACAGGGAGCCACAGCAAAGGGGTGAAAGAGCCACATGCGGCTCCAGAGCCACAGGTTGCTGACCCCTGATTTATAAGATGCACCTAAATTTCCACCCACTTTTAGGGGGGGGGAAGGTCCATCTTATGCTCCGAAAAATACCTTATGTGTTATCCCCTTACACAGCAGGTCTACAAATAGTTATAAACTCTCCCAAACTTCATAAAACTTGACACTAGTATTCGGCTACATAAAAACGGGACATTCAAAAGGGACAGGAATCTAGAACCTGAACCGTTCTAGAGTATTATCTATGCTATCTTCGGCGTGCCGCAGGATTTCTGTAGAAATTTTATAATGTGGTCCTCACAGATTTCAGGCCTTGAAGTTGATTTGAATGAGCTGCTTGAGGGTTCGGCTTGCAAAGGATCGACCGATCTGGCACCAGAGCCGCGGAATGAAGTCACCGGTTAGGGACCTGGCTTCGGAGGGTGGAGTGTTGACTTGGATCCCAAAGGATCCCAAAGGAGAGCTGAGAGAAGACGATAAACAATTGCATCAGGTGCCCTGATGGCGATGTGCACAAAAAAAAAAGGAAAGCCATTGGAGGAAGAAAAGGATGTTTTATTTATTTATTCTTTATGAAGAAAATTTTTACGGCTGCCCGTTTCACTCACGGCGACTCTGTGCAGTTTACAGCAAAACGTCTGTTAGAGATTCTCCGTCATCCAGGTCATGATTTTGTACCGAAGGTGCTTTCTCAGGAGGCAACTGGACTTTCTGGTTTGTTTGTTTTTTCTTTGAAGAAGTTTCGCTTCTCACCCAAGAAGCTTCTTCAGCTTCTCATCTAAGAAGCTTCCGTTCCCCTCCATCCAGTCAGAGCTGAAGAAGCTTTTTAGATGAGGAGCAAAACGTCTTCAAAGAAAAGCAAGAAATTCCAGCTGCCTCTTGAAAAGGCACTTTTGGGGAAAGGAAAGGAAAGGAAAGGAAAGGAAAGGAAAGGAAAGGAAAGGAAAGGACTTCAGCTCTGATAGGATGGTTGGGAATGGAAGGATTGATATTCTTTGCAGACAGCTGGTCATTTGCATCCTTTTTAGAGGTTCCTGGAAGCACTTGGAGGTTTCTCTGTGTCCTCAGGATCACCTGAGTGGTGCAAATAGTTCCTGTAGTCTGCCATTTTTTTCCCTGGAAATTTTTCTCTGGGAAAAAACAAATTGCAAAATAAAAGAAATGAAAAAATTGGGTGACTTTGGGCCAACAATCCCCAGGAGATGGTGAGTTTTAATCCTGCCTTATGCATGAAAGCTGGTTGGGTGATATTGGATTAGCTCCTCATCCTCAGCCCAACTCACCTCACAGGTTTGCTGTGGTGAGGAAAATAGGTGGAAGAAGGCGGATTGGATCTGTTTGCCGCCTTGATTTATTTGTAAAAAAATAAATAAATAACTAAGATAGTTTATTAGTAACAAAACAAAGGGAAACTGAGGCTAGGAAGCAAAATTAAGCGCATATCCCAAATCCCGGCTCCTGAGAGAGAAGGAAAAGCCACACTGCATTTGTACGAATGTGCAAAGTTTGCGCCCTCTTTAAGAAATGCAACACAAGGGAACACAAGGCCGATTTGTCATTAACTAGGTATAAATATTTTCAAGGGCAGCAATTCAGTTCCCACCCACGCCCTCCTGGTCTGGCACCAACAAGGGAAAATGCTACGATTTATTGGCGACAGCCCCCCACCAGGGAAGAGAACCTGAAATCACAAATCGTGTACAGGTAGTCCTTGACTTATGACCACAATTGAGGCCAGCATTGATGTTGCTAAGCGAGCAATTGCAGACCAAAGCCACCTAACTGGCTTTCATGCCTAAGCCGGGACTAGAACTCACAGTCTCCTGGTGATTGGCCCAAAGAGTCACCCAACTGGCTTTCATGCCTAAACCAGGACTAGAATTCACTGTCTCCTGGTGATTGGCCCAATGTCACCCAGCCAGTTTTCATGCTTAAACTGGGACTAGAACTCACAGTCTCCTGGTGATTGATAGAAAGTTACTCAATTGGCTTTGATGCCTGAGGCGGGACTAGAACTCACCGTCTCCTGGAGATTGGCCCAAAGTCACCCAGCTGGCTTTCATGCATAAGGTAGCACTAGAACTCACTGTCTCCCGCTTTCTATCCTGGCGCCTTAACCAGTAGACCGATCCGGCTCTCTCTTTGCTGGAATAACTTAAGATCGCACCCATTCTTGCATTGTGTGGGATGGGCTAGACTTGAATACAAGACGGTCCTTGACTTGTGACCGTAATGGAGCCTGCCCATCACAGTTTTTCGTGGTAAATCAGGTCATCCACATGGCTGATTTTTTTATCTTTTCTGTAGCGACCGTTAAGCCAAGGCCATGGTCATTAAGCGAGTGTCCTGGTTGTTAAGTGAACCAAAGGTTTGCTGTGGGATGATAGGGCCCCAGACGGGGAGTAAATGCTCATTTTTGGCAAAGCCGTTGTAAAACACACCACAATACAAATAGGAACACAGTTGTGTTAATTGAATCTGGCTTCTCCTTTGACTTGGCTTGTCAGAAGGTCGCAATAGGGAGTCACATGACCCCGGTACACTGCGACCGTCATAACTATGAGCCAGTGGCCAAGCGTCTGAATGTCGATCATGT